TAGTTCAGTTCTAGCTCAGTTCTAGTTCAGTTCTAGTTCAGTTCTAGTTCAGTTCTAGTTCAATTCTAGTTCAGTTCTAGTTCAGTTCTAGTTCAGTTCTAGTTCAATTCTAGTTCAGTTCTAGTTCAGTTCTAGTTCAGTTCTAGTTCAGTTCTAGTTCAGTTCTAGTTCAGTTCTAGTTCAATTCTAGTTCAGTTCTAGCTCAGTTCTAGTTCAGTTCTAGTTCAATTCTAGTTCAGTTCTAGCTCAGTTCTAGTTCAGTTCTAGTTCAATTCTAGTTCAGTTCTAGCTCAGTTCTAGATCTTTTCTAGTTCAGTTCTAGATCTGTTCTAGTTCAATTCTAGATCTTATCTAGTTGAGTTCTAGTTCAGTTCTTGTTCAGTTTTAGTCCAGTTCTTGATCAGTTCAAAATTTCTCTTTGGTTTTGAAACATTTTTTAAATTATTTTTAGTTTTCGCAAAATTTTTTTTCTGAAAATATTAAAAAATTTTCTATTTTATAGAAAATTTTGTAAAAATTTAATTTTTTTTTTAGAAAATTTTAATATTTTTTAAATGATCTTTGTTGAAAGAACATCTGTTGTTTGCGTGGTATGCATTTAATTTTAGATTTTTTTAGATAATGGATTCAATTGGAACGCTTCTTTTTACCCCTAGACTGTTATTTCAAACTTTTCTCTAGTTGAATAAATAATCTAATCTCAGTATAACCTAATTACTATGAATAGAGTTTTTGCCCTTGAATTGAGTTTTTATATTCAAACTAAAGAGGAAATTAAATTAATTCATGCAAATATTAATTTTCATTTATTATAATTATTTCAACTTTCATCATTTTGATAAGGAAACCGAAAGTGTGTTCTTTTTAATTTAATTTCCTTTCATATCCCTTAAAATAAATTGTTCGTTCCAACTAAATAAAGAGCCAAAAATTATAATAAAACATAAACAATTTAAATATGTAATTTGATTGACATTTAAATGCACTACGAAACAGTTTAAATCAAATGCAATTGAAACTGACAGAGTTGACTTCATTCGGAACATGTAAAATATGTATGTAGTTGTCCTGGTTGTTGTAGTAGTTGCAGTTTATAATGTTGTTGCTGTTGCCGTTGTTGTTCATGTTGTCTGTTTCCCAAAACATACCGCATGACGAGCAACCAGCCACAATACACGTGTGTAGATACAAAAATTTCAGATTTAATGTCAGATTCGTAGACCCACTGACTTTTATACACATGACACAATGACGGAGGGAGAGAGTGAGTGTTTTTTTTAGCAAAAGCCCATTAAATGTCAGAGGGTATGAAAACAATTTGTATGAGATGATTTTAAATAAAAATCATGACAAAAATTTGCGTAAAGGATACACAGTCCACAAATATTCATTCACACATATGTATGTTTCAGTGTGTATACAAATGTGTCTGTGTATCCACATTTATGTTAAAAACAAAAAATAGGATGTAAAAAAGGAAACAATCAAATAAAAACAAAATAACAGGAGAAAATTTCAGCAAAAAAATAAAAATAACAACAACCAATGTCTATCTGATATGCGACATAAGTCAACATGTCAGTTATCCGGCAATATACATTGTCAGTCAGTCAACAATAATACTATAGTAGTAACAAACGCAGCAACAGCAGCATAATAGCAACACCAATACTAAAGACAAAAACAACAACAATAAAAAAATTCCTTTACAGCTGGTGAGGCAAAGTGTTAAAAGTAACCGGAAGGATGAATATAAAAATTATCTTTTATCAATCTGATCAGAGGTGTAAAAATTTATATTTTTTTAGAAAATTCTAAAACTTTCTCTTTTATAGAAAATTTTTGTTGTTTTCTTTTTTATAGAACATTTTCAAAAAGTTTCTCTTTTACACAGAAAATTTTCGGAAATGTTCTCCTTTTCCAAAAATTGTCTGCTTTTTTTTTAGAAAATTTTTTTGGAATTTTCGTTTTTTTGTAGTAAAATTTTTATAATAAATTTATCTTTTCTATTTTCTTTTTTTTAACATTTTCGAAAATCTCTTTTTATTGAATATTTTGGAAACTTTCTTTTAATTTTTATCCTTTTATAGAAAATTTTCGAAAGTAATAACACCCTATTATTACCACCCCTTCGTATTTGAGTGACAAAATGTTATTGAAATAAATTTGAATGAATCTGTGATCGTAACCCTGACAAAAATGTCAGACAATGATGTTGATGCTAAAGTTTGCTGTTTGCAGTTATTGCTGATGCCTCTATAATTGTTGATATTGCTGGCAAATGTCCACTATGGCAACATTTATGTATGTATTTTTCTTCTATCTCATGACTGCTGCAATTAACCCTTAAACTGCTCTTCAAATTAAAGCGAATATATAAAAAAATTTTCTGGTTATGTCTTCCATATGATTCGGATAAATAATTTTATTACAGTTTAAACAAATTTCTATATTATTTTGATATTTATGACAAAAGAAACAATGTCCTATTTGGAATCAATGAAGTCTATTTGTTTACAATTTTATCCCATGTATACAAAGTAGGGGTTAAAGTCAATATTCTGTTTTTAATCTTGGTTATTTTTTGTAGAATTTTAAAGCCAAATGGGTGGTAGAATGGAAATGTCATTTAATAAAGAAGTTGATGTTTTAGATGGATAGTAAGATAGATAGATATTAATAGAGTTTTAATATAAAGAAAGGAACTAAAAAGTAAAAAGAGTACATGCTTAATAAAATATTTAAATAAACGTCGAATAGACTAGTAGTCTGTATTCTGGGTCAAATAGACACTATTCGAATGTCCCATTTATTTGTCGTATAACTATAAAGGGCAACGTTGTTAACATTGCAACAATTCGTTTAATCAATCTAAATTTTATACACATCCGTTGTCTAAAAGTTAACATACGTGGTAAGCGCAGAATCCATTGTCAATATTGAGCTAACCACGTTTATTAACTTTTAGACAACGGATGAGTATAAAATTTAGGTTGCGCCCGCGAATTGTTGCAGTGTTGACAACATTACGTTGACAACATTACATTGTGTTGTCGTACGTATGTATATACTTGACAACGGATGTTATTGAAAAATGGTGTCAATTTGGTACCAATTTGGTATTTATTTTCCCTCTGTGTAGTCGAATACGAATTCTATTCGAATACGAATTCTATTCTAGACTATATTCTAGTAGAATTGACCCTACGATAGTCGAAGAGACCCTATTGTAGTCGAAAAGACGCTATTCTACGACCTCTATTCTAGTCGAAGCGACTCTATTCTAGTCGAAGAGACCCTATTCTAGTCGAATACACTATATTCTTGTCAAAGAGACCCCATTCTAGTCGAATAGACTAAAATAGACACTATTTTATGCGAACACACTAAATTCTTATCGAATAGACTAAATTCTTATCGAATAGACTCTATTTTAATCGAATATATTATTTTCTGATCGAATCGACTCTATTCTAGTCGAATTGATTATATTCTAGGCGAATCGAATATATTCTACTCGAATCGACTATATTCTGTATGGTTGGGAGGTTAACGTGGTAGTTCATTGCGCGTGAATAGTGAAGTGGAGTCGGACCACTCCACTCGTCAGATGTATTATTGTATAGTGTTAGATCCAGCCTATAGTCGTGAGAAATCTTAGGATTTCATTAAGCTTAAACCTAGATATCTCATCATGGTTAGATATGAAGAAGCTGCCAAGAAAGCGTTTTTTCTTAACAGCTAGAGCAGGGCATTCGCAGAGAAGATGGAAGACCGTTTCTTCCTTTTCCCTGTCTTTGCAACTGCGACAGTGTTCATGTCAGTCTTGCTTGTCTGCCTAGCACCCAGTGTCCTGTTATTACTGCTACAGATGAGCAGATTATTCCACCTATTCTCAGCCTTCTGAAGAAAGAATCTGAAGATACTACTCTTGATAAAACCTAACGGAGTTGCTACTGAAATGCCGTTGGAGATATTAAGAGCAGTTCCCATTCTGGCAAGATAATCTGCCTGTTAATTTCCATAATATTATTACTTCCATAATATTTCCCTATACGCAGGGACCCAAACAAGGGTAATGTCAGACAGTCCACCCAGCCTTGACAGATCCTTCTTGCATTGTCTGACTAATGGAGAAGTGATATAAGTATAAGTATAAGTATAAGAATTAAGTGAGAGAAGTGCCGCTTGACTATCGACAAAAATTCCTATGTTGTCGCGAATATTGAGATCATGTAGTTCCTGGAAGGAACTCTGATTTTGAAAAGTCTTATCAATTTCCGTGTGTGGGGTAATATAGTCTTAGCGTGTTCATATGTTCTTGGTCTCCAACTTCCCACTATATTTTTTGAGGATTCGATAGCTTTGAATGCTAGTATTTGAACTCTGATCGAATAAACTCCGTTCTGATCGAATGGGCTCTATTCTTGTCGCATAGACCTCTTATCTGTATTTTTGATTTAAATGCAATTAAAAATATTTTCATATAAAAGCCATTTAAACAAATACATATAAATACACGACATATTTAATTTTTTTAAAACATATGTATATATTATATCCAATACATATGTATGTATTTGTATATGTACTCCTCTATCGATTATTTAGTATGACAGATTAATTAAGTCATTTGCTGTTGGGCAAAATATTTGTGCAAAATTACCAAATATTGTCACACATTCGCAGCATACATTTGTACATTCATTTGCAAATGTTAAATTTTTGAAATATGTAAAATAAATGTCTGCATGTGTTAGTATGTCAGATATTTGTAATTGTGTTTCTGCTATTTATTTGTATCTATTTATCCAACTCAAACTATAATATTCATATGATTTTTTGTTTGTTTTCAAAGTGCAGCAAACACTCTCAAATACATATTTTACCTTAAGCTATTTAACCTATTTTAGTTGCATTATACTTGTTAAATGTACTTGAACATATTTAAATGCCGATAAACTGCGTTTGGCATTTAAGAGACACCACAATTTGAAATATATACTTTTTTTATTATTTTATATTTCCAATTGGTATTTGTATATTGTAATAAAGTTTTCGATATTGTTTAAAAGTTTATAAGGGAAATCCGATAATGTAGGATATGTGGTATTTTTATATAGATTAAAATTACAATTTACAAAAAAATATACACTCAACGCCACATACCACAATTGACTACTACTATATCCTTTTTTGTTTTACCATTTTTTGTGCCATAGTCCTGCAGACAATCCAAAACCTTTAGACCTTGGCTGACCACACCAAAAGGCACTCTCTCGCCATTTAAAACCGATAAAGCTTTAAAACTAATAGAGAAATTCAGCAAACCGGGAGGAAAACCATTTAAATAACACTTAGCAAACGAGAGAACACCGGGACCCATGCCATGATCTAAACAATGCATATTATACAAAAATCCAGGACAATTAAGAACATTTTCCGGAACGCAAAGTTCTCCCTCTATCCAGAGTAAAGGAAATATACGTATAAATTTCAGCAAGTCCGTATTGCGGTACGAACACAAGCGCACAAATTCTAAAACCAATTCGGGGCAAGCTTCTGTATATAGTTGTATAACTATGCGTCCCAAAGGTCTGACATTTTTAACATAAAGATCTATAAAGACCTTAGGCCTTAAGAGTTTGCCCATTAAGTATGGTTCGTGGCAATTAACGGCTTCCATATACTCCCTCATAGTGGCCTGTGATATAGTGGATTTAATATTATTTCTTCTTAAAGCTCTTAATTCCTCCATTCCTCTTCTCGTGTCCATAGATGATTTAGCTTTTAATATTCTCTTACCCAATTTATGATTATCCTCTTCAATTTCTTTTAAACGTTTTGACAAACGTATAAAATGATTCGATTTAATGGGTATAATTTTATTAACATTATCGGTAAAACCGTGAGTTTTTTGTATACAATTAAGTTTGGTCAAGAGGTGTATATTGTCCTTTAAAATTCTTCTAGTGGCCACAAAATCATCTTTTAATTTTGGCACTCTTAGGTAAGTGGAAGCAAATATCTTAGGTGGTTTAAAGTCGACAAGACTTCGAGCATTCTTGAGATTTTTCTGATGAATTTCATCGAGTTTTTTACGTTCCCAGGGGTCAACGGGAGGTACGAAACTTTTGCGGGGCATTTTTGAAAGGATTTTTTTAGAAAATTTTGTTAATAAAATATAATTTGTTTGAAGTGAAATAAAAATTCTGTATTTATAGGAAATAAATGTGAAAATTTTTGTTATTGTAGGCAATTTTTTCTGTGCTATCGATTACATATTAAAATTGTTGTGTTTTGAGTCGACTAAGGAAGAACTATATTGAAATTCACTCCATTATAGATGAAATGACCCAAATCTCGTCGAATTGACTTGACACTTTTAGCATAAACTCTGAGCTAGTCGAAAAAAACTATATTCTAGTCGAATTGTCGCCACAGTAGTCTATTAGAAAGTACTTCAGTTTATTTCAATTGACTTTAATCTAGTCGAACCAATTTTAAAGTAGTTGAACCAACTCTAATCTAGTCGAATCAACTCCACTCTATTCTAAAGGAATTTAGTCTAGTCCAGACTCCCAATTAATACTTTAATATAGACGAATCATATTTAATACAGTCAAATTGAATCTAGTCGAATTGTCTTAAATCTAGTATAATCTATTTCAATCTAGTGGAATAGACTTCGAAGGACTTCACATTTATTGAGTTGAGTCTTATTTGATCAAAGCGACTCTCATCTGATGAAATCGATTATAATCTAGATGAATCGACTACTTCCTGCTCGAACCGAGTCATGTATATCTGATTCGACATTATTTTAGTCGAATCGATACTATTTTTGGCGAATTGGTTTTAATATAGAATTATCCAATAGACTCTATTTCACAGTCGAAGTAAAAACGACTCTACTCGAGCAGTTACTTATTTTATTGACTCGACCATAATCTCCTATATTATAGTCGAATTGACTTTAATAAAGTTGAAACAACTCTGACCTTGTCGAAAGTACTGCATTCTATTGTAATACATTATAATCTATTGAATAAACTCTTATATAGTTGAATCGGTTCTAATATAGTCGAATAGACCTGGTCGATTGGATTCCGATCTTAACGAGTCGACTCTATTATAGTCGAATCCACTCTAATATAGTCTAACCTTAATGAATCAGCTTTACTATAGTCAAATCGATTCCAATCTAGTTGAATCGACTCCTATCTAGTCGAATCGACTTAGTCTAGTCAAATCGATTCAAATATAGAATCGGACGTATTATTGTCGCATCGACTCTTATAGAATAATATAAAATAGTCCAATATGAATCTCCTTCACTCTAGTAGAATCAATTAAAATCTAGTTGAATCGACTCTTATCTTGTCGAATTAACTTTAGTCCAGTATATCTTATCTACTCTTAAGGAATATTCTAAAATAATTGAATCTACTCTAATATATTCTAATAGACTCCAAGATTGACGAAACGCCTCCACTCTAGTCGATTCGATTCCAATATAGATTATTATTCTTATCAAATCAACTATAATCTATTCGAGTCAACTTTTTCTAAGTGAATAAACTGTCGAATTGGCTTACCTCTTGTAAAATATTCTATTATTACACTCTTTATAACTCAATTTTCATAAGATTTATTTCAGACATTTCCTTAAAATACCCCCTTTGTTACTAAGATTTGACTCTAACATTTTTTCAACTCATACTATATTAAAAAATTAAATTTATAATTAAAAAAAAAAATCGACATAAATAAAACAACAATCCTCTCCACTACTTACTGTAAATATCACAATGTTCACCCTCATAGTGTGAGCCAAAACAATCACACGAGATGTCATAATAATGATTAATGCATTTCGAGCCCACGAAACACAAATTGTGCCGGGAATGACATTTATCAGCACAGCCCTCATTAACGTTTTCATGTTTGGTAGCAACCAGTGGGGTAATGGGCAACAAATCGGAGGCAGCTTTACCCGAATACAATATAACGTTGCGTATACAGCCAACAAATGATTCAATTATGTATTTAACACCATGCAGTTTTTCTTCCGATGAAAGTCCTGCAAAAATATGGAAGAGAAAAAAAAAAAAAAAAAAAATTACAAGGAATTTGTTACATTTGTTTTTAGTTTTTTTTTTTTTTTTTGGCAAAATTTTTAGTTGCGTGGCTTAAAGCCTAGATGTAAATGATAAATTTTTAAATGATTTATTAGTAGAAAACTGTAATGCAATACAGCAATATACAAATTTAAGGAATTGGAATTGAAATCTTCTATACTCTAGTCAAAGCGACTCTTTTTTAATTGAATCGATTCTATTCTAAACAATTCGAACTCTAACCCAGTAGAATGAGCTTTATTCTAGACGAATCCATTATTTTCTAATCAAACAGATTCTATTCTAGTCGAATCAAATCTACACTAGTCGAATCGAGTCTACTCTGTTCAAATTGATTCTCTTCAGTTTGAATGGATCGAATCATCTCTATTCTACTCAATTGGAACTCTATTTCTGCTCAGTAGGTTGAACGGATTCTCTTTAAATGAAATCGAATCTACTCTAGTCAAGCAGACTCTATTCTAGTCGATCATACTCTATTCTAGTCGAGAAGACTCTATTCTAGTTGAACAGGCTCCATTCTAGTCGAACAGACCACATTTTAGTCGAACTCTCTCTATTATATTCTAATACTTTTCATTCTAGTCGAATCGAATCAATTTTATCAGAGTGAATTATCATTTTGTTTAATGGACTCTATTCTTGTCGTACAGTTGAATAGACTTTATTTTATTCGAACAGAGGACTCTATTCAAGTCAAAAAAACTATTCTAGTTTAATTCTACTCTATTGTTGTCGAATCAGTTTTATTGTAGTCAAATACTCCGGTCGAACAACTTTATTCTAGTCGAAAATGATCTATTATAGTCGAAGAGACTCTTACTAGCCGAACATATTCTATTTTAGTCGAATCATCTCTATTCTAGTCTATTTGAACTCTATAATAGTCGAATGGATCGAACGAATTACCGACTCCATTCTAGTCGAGCAGACTTTATTCAAGTTGAACAGACTCTACTCTAGCCGAACAGACTATATTCTAATCGAACAGGCTCTATTCTAGTCGAACAGACTCTATTCTATCCGAATACATTCCATTCATATCGAATCTATTCTATTCGAATAAATTCCATTCATATCGAATTTATTCAAGTCGAATAGATTCTCTTCTAGTCAAATCGAATCTATTCTAGTCGAATCGGCTCTAGCCTAGTCGAACAACTCTATCCTAGTAGAACAGCTCTATTATAGCCGACGAGTCTCTATTCTATTCAAATATACTCTATTGTAGTCAAATCGTTTATATTCTAGTCAATTTGAACAATAATCCAGTCGAGTATATCGAATGGATTCTCTTCTTCTCAAATGGTCTCTAATCTAGTCCAATAAATTCCATTCTAGTCGAATTGAATCTACTCTAATTCGATTACATTCTATTATAATTCCCTAAAAATTGTAACAATAATTTGATTTTAAGCCTAAATTGTTCTAAAGCAAATTGAATATTGCATAAGTTAAATTAATCATTTCAAAGTTTGATTGCAAATTTCATTTTAACTTAAAGTCTTCTACGAAAAACCAAATTCCCTAAAATTATAGTTTTTCAAATCCACTTACCTCCCACCAATACTACAGATGGTAAATTTGTAGAAACACCATAGTTAGTATCATGATTCAGGCCCTTAAGATAAACTTCCTCTTGATGTTCGTCAACTATTGCAATTAATCTTGCACCATGGACATCAATGCGTACCTTTGGGATAAAAACACAAGAAAAAACATAAAGCATACAGACAAACATTCATCAGCAAATACAAGAGATCAATAATAGAACAATAGCAAAAAAAAATCTAACAAAATAAAAATGAATGAAAGTAAGCAAGATAGACAGACAGACAGATCGAGAGAATCCAATAATGCAAACAATAATGGAAATTATGAAAAGTACGTACACACATACACATACCCATTCAAACAAATGTAACTAAGAACAAACATTTCTTTTGTCCACCCTGGATACATTTCATTATGCCACAAATACAAATCTAATTCAAGAGTACTAGAGGTATCCATACATTTACAACTGTCTCTACACTTCCTTCATCCTGTTCATGTGTGTGTCCAACTCATTCAACCCTACATAAGATGAATGTTTTTCCTACAGATAAGACAATGATGAGTTTGTTTTCCTATTCCCTATTTGTACTTTTCTTAACACACACACACACACCACACACTCTTACACACAAAGTGCATTCGCATTACAGACACGTATTGAAATGTATGGCAAAAAAAAAGCTCGAAATATAGGAAGATAAATAAGAAAAGAGCTATAGAAAAAATGACTTGACAATTGTAAGACCAATGAAAATGTTACATGAGATACAATCGTATAGAGTTGGAAATGTGTGAGAGAAAAAATAGGGATTGTAGTTATGAATGAACAATAATATAAACGTGCAACAAAACAATTCAACATTTCATAACACTTGGGAATTTCAAAAGTGTATGAATGTGTTTTAAATACTCAATATTAAGTAGATGGGAATCCAGCATTGAATTGTATTGTGTTAATTCTGGGAAAAGTTAGCTTATTAAAAACAAAAGTTTATTTGATTACTTGTGAGAGTAAATTTACACTCTACTTGGTTATATTCTCTTCTGTTCGACTCCACTCTTGAAACGATGCTTTTAAACTTCTACTACTTACTTAATTTTACTCCACTTGTCATTATTATCAAACATTTTGCTCAAGTCGACCCGGTTCGACCTTAAACTATTTTTTTAATTCTATCTATTTTAGTCCAACAGAATCTATTCTAGTCGAATCTTAAACCATTCTTTTTAATTCTGTCTATTTGTATTCGAATAGACCCTATTCTAGTCGAATAGAATCTATTCTAGTCGAATAAAATCTATTCTAGTCGAATATAATATATTCTAGTCGAACAGAATCTAATCTAGTCGAATAGAATCTTTTCTAGTCGAACAGAATCTATTCTAGTCGAATAGAATCTTTTCTAGTCGAATAGAAACTATTCTAGTCGAATAGACTCCATTCTAGTCGAATAGGGTCTAATCTAGTCGAATAGAATCTACTCTAGTGGAATAGAATATATTGTAGTCGAATAGAATATATTCTAGTC